CAATATACTAGTAACAAAATATATAGGTGTGTATTTTCATCAAAATATATAGAAATCAACATATTAGTGATCAACAAGAGTAACTAAAAAATAAAAATACTCTTACGAAGTGGAAATTTAATTCCCTTTAAAAATTAACTTTACTAATATTTCAAATACATAGTAACTAAAAATTACTGTGTTGATTTTAAAAAATTAACTTTATTAAAAATTATTTTTTAAATTTTTTTGGAAAAAAATTTTATTTACTGAAAAAAATTAAAACAATATTTTTTTTCAAAAAAGATTAATTTTTTTTTAAAAATAAAAATATTTTTTTTTGAAAAAAATTTTCAAAATTTTTTTTTAATTAAAAAAATTGACTAATTTAATTTTTATTTTGATTTTTTAAATCATGAATAAAATAATTAGAGTGCTATATATAATAAGTGATATGAAGGAGATATTATATAGTTTAGATATCTTGAATTAAACGTTTTGCAAATCGGTTGTGGAAATTTTAAACAAACTCTTTCTTAATTATCTTGAAGAGAGCAATATAGACTTTTAGTATAATACAGTCATACTAGAATAAGTATTTAGATATTTTAACAGATAGTGCAGATGTGAATCTATTATTGTACAACAATTATATTAACAATTAATAAATTGTATAATATGTAAGCCTATGTTAATATATAATAATAATAAAAGATGATTGATTTAACATTAAATTGGCCATTTACTATTAAAATCACTCACTCTAGATCACTCATTCTTATACTTCAAATAAAATTAAATGGTAAATTTAAAATGACGTGAGATAAAATATAATAAAATAAAAATCGTATAGATTAATATTATTTATATATTATTTATCAAATAGTAAAATAATTAATTTTTAAAGCTGAAATTGAAATGAAAAATAAATTAGTTTCCGTCAACAATATTTCAAAAATAAATAGTAAAATAATTATGACAGAAAAATTTTTATTTACTGAAAAAAAATTAAAACAATATTTTTTTTCAAAAAAATTTTTTTTTTTTTCAAAATAAAAATATTTTTTTTTGAAAAAAAATTTCAAAGTTTTTTTTTAATTAAAAAATTAACTAATTTGGTTTTTATTTTGGATATGGATGTCCAAATTATGGATTTGGTTAAAACCATATTAAAAATATATCCAAAATATGAATTTGGTTAAAACCATACTAATAATTAACCGATTTTTAATAACCGGATTTGGATATGGATGTGGATTATTTAAATAACCGGTTTATTTAAGCACCCCTATTCACATTGACTTCTGGTATACTATATCTAAAAATATTCAATAATTTTCTTCACCATCCCAAAGATTTAGGTTTATTTATCATTAAGCAGAAATCATAATAGACTATAATAGACTTAAAAAAATAATTACATTTTATTTTTCTACTCCGTCACAAAATTTTAGGTTTTTCCCCGCTAAAAAACAAAGTTAAAAGACTATAATCCATGACATGTATTTTATATAAAATAGGTAATAACTAAAATAAATAATCAAGCTAAAATTTATTGTACATTTACCATTTTCACACTAAAATTATGGTAAATTAGATGTAAATATATTCAATATGTATTTTATCCATCACCAAATTTCATTTTTCTTTGTCTCTAAGCCACATAGTTAAAAGACTATAAATGAATGACAAATAAATTACATCTACATGGGTAATCAATAAAATTAAATATTTAAGCTCAATGTTATTTGTATTCACCATAATCACATTGTATTATGGTATAATATATGTAAAACAATTCTATATTATTCTTTTTTTCCATCACTAAATCGTTGGTATCTTCAACACTAAGAAACTAAGTTAAGAGACTACAAATGAATGACCCATAATTTATACATATGCATAACAATTAAAATTAAATAATCGCGCTACATATTGTTTATATTCAACGTATTCACATTGACTTCTGGTATACCTTATCTAAAAATATTCAATAATTTTCTTCACCATCCCAAAGATTTAGGTTTTTTTATCACTAAGCAAAAAACATAATAGATTATAATAGATTTAAAAAAGTAATTATATTTTATTTTTCTACTCCGTCACAAAATTTTAGGTTTTTCCCCACTAAAAAACAAAGTTAAAAGACTATAATCCATCACATGTATTTTATATAAAATAGGTAATAACTAAAATAAATAATCAAGCTAAAATTTATTGTACATTTACCATTTTCACACTAAAATTATGGTAAATTAGATGTACATATATTCAATATGTATTTTATCCATCACCAAATTTCATTTTTCTTTGTCTCTAAGCCACATAGTTAAAAGACTATAAATGAATGACAAATAAATTATATCAACATGGGTAATCAATAAAATTAAATGTTTAAGCTCAATGTTATTTGTATTCACCATAATCACATTGTATTATGGTATAATATATGTAAACCATTTATATATTTTTCTTCTTCTCCATCAGCAAAATTTTGATTTCTTCATCTCTAAGAAACTAAGTTAAGAGACTACAAATGAATGATCCATAATTTATACATATGCATAACAATTAAAATTAAATAATCACGCTGAATATTGTTTATATTATACGTATTCACATTGACTTATGGTATACTACGTCTAAAAATATTCAATAATTTTCTTCACCATCCCAAAGATTTAGGTTTTTTAATCACTAATCAAAAAACATAATAGACTATAATAGACTTAAAAAGTAATTATATTTTATTTTTCTACTCTGTCACAAAATTTTAGGTTTTTCCCCACTAAAAAACAAAGTTAAAAGACTATAATCCATAACATGTATTTTATATAAAATAGGTAATAGCTAAAATAAATAATCAAGCTAAAATTTATTGGTATTTACCATTTTCGCACTAAATTATGGTAAATTAGATGTAAATATATTCAATATGTTTTTTTTTCCATCACCAAATTTCATTTTTCTTTGTCTCTAAGCCACATAGTTAAAAGACTATAAATGAATGACAAATAAATTATATCAAAATGGGTAATCAATAAAATTAAATATTTAAGCTCAATGTTATTTGTATTCACCATAATCACATTGTATTATCTTATAATATATGTAAAACATTTCTATATTTTTCTTCTTCTCCATCACCAAATTTTGGTTTCTTCATCTCTAAGAAATTAAGTTAAGAGACTAGAAATGAATGATCCATAATTTATACATATGTATAACAATTAAAATTAAATAATCATGTTCAATATTGTTTATATTCAAGGTATTCACATTGACTTATGCTAAATTACATCTAAAAATATTCAATATATTTCTTCACCATTCCAAAGTTTTATGTTTTTTTATATCATTAAAAAAAACCAGTAAATGTAAGAAATTAATTATATTTAATTTTTCTACACTGTTATAAAATTTTAGGTTTTCCCCTACTAAAAAACAAAGTTAAAAGACTATAATTCATGACATATATTTTATATAAAAAAGATAATAAGTAAAATAGATAATCAAGCTAAAATTTCTTGTTATTTACCATTTTCACTCTAAATTATGGTAAATTAGAGGTAAATATATTCAATATGTTTTTTCTCCATCACCAAAATTCATGTTTCTTCGTCTCTAAGTCATATAGTTAAAAGACTATAAATGAATGACAAATAAATTACATCTACATGGGTAATCAATTAAATTAAATATTTAAGCTCAATTTTATTTGTATTCACCATAAGCACATTGTATTATGGTATAATATATGTAAAACAATTCTATATTATTCTTTTTTTCCATCACTAAATCTTTGGTTTCTTCAACACTAAAAAACTAAGTTAATAGACTACAAATGAATGACCCATAATTTATACATATGCATAACAATTAAAATTAAATAATCGCGCTACATATTGTTTATATTCAACGTATTCACATTGACTTCTGGTATACTATATCTAAAAATATTCAATAATTTTCTTCATCATCCCAAAGATTTAGGTTTTTTTATCATTAAGCAAAAAACATAATAGACTATAATAGACTTAAAAAAATAATTATATTTTATTTTTCTACTCCGTCACAAAATTTTAGATTTTTCCCCGCTAAAAAACAAAGTTAAAAGACTATAATCCATCACATGTATTTTATATAAAATAGGTAATAACTAAACTAAATAATCAAACTAAAATTTATTGTACATTTACCATTTTCATACTAAAATTATGGTAAATTAGAAGTAAATATATTCAATATATATTTTATCCATCACCAAATTTCATTTTTCTTTGTCTCTATGCCACATAGTTAAAAGACTATAAATGAATGACAAATAAATTATATCAACATGGGTAATCAATAAAATTAAATGTTTAAGCTCAATGTTATTTGTATTCACCATAATCACATTGTATTATGGTATAATATATATAAACCATTTATATATTTTTCTTCTTCTCCATCAGCAAAATTTTGATTTCTTCGTCTCTAAGAAACTAAGTTAAGAGACTACAAATGAATGATCCATAATTTATACATATGCATAACAATTAAAATTAAATAACCACGCTGAATAGTTTTTAGATTCAGCTAATATGAATATATTGTCTTGTTTTATATTTTACTTTGATAGAATAAATACAAAAATAAATAAGCAGCACTAAAACCTTGGCATTGTATCTATGAATTCGGGTTGAGATGGTAAAGGTCTCTTCCAACTGATCAAATGTTCTGGATTCGAACTCGATTAGGGCATACAACAGTAATACATCTCTTGTGAAAGAGTTTTGCCGTCAGAATACCCCCCGATTAATAGAAGAAATAACTATTAATCGTCAAAACATTAACAGCCAAGAAGAAGAAAAAAGATAATTTTACATTGTTAGATATATGCAGTCTAATAAATGGAAACAAGGGCTAGGTCTCTCCAATGCCAACTTTGTTTTCTTTTTACACAAAACTATACAAAAAGATAAACAAGTGCTATCAAATCCCCATCGCAGCAACTCTTGTATTTCTTTTTTTTACTTTTAACACGTGGTCTCTCCAACCTGTCCAGTGATAATACTCCACCGATCACCAGTAGTCCAGACTGATTATCAAAGAGAAAATGTATTGTTAAGCAATATCAGCGGTAAAAGAGAGGATAAATGAAGTTTTTGGTATGATAAATTTATTACCTTTAGATGTTTGCTCAATCCAAGGGCCATTCATTACGTTTAATATACTGCATGCCTCACTATATTGCAGATCTGGTAACAACTTTGGGGTAAGCAAGAAACACCTGCATAAGATTAATGGTCATATACACGTTAGAAACAAACAAATGAGGGAACAAAGCACATTAGTGACTCGCAAATCTGCAAAGAACCTTACTTTCCTAGTATGCAAACATCACATTCAATCTATCCATTTATATGCATAGATAAATTCAATCCATCTAACATATTTTAAGAATCCTATGGATTATTTTTATTTTCGTTAGATTTATTTTTTTTAAATAATTAAAAACAGATTTTTTAATAAATAATTAAAAAACTGTAATTTTTTCAAAAAAAAAATTGAATTTTTTTTCTGAAAAAAAAAGTTTTTTTTAAAAAAATTGTTTTTTTTCTGAAAAGCAATTTCATTTTTTTCATGAATATATTAAAAAATAATTTTTTTTAAAATACAATAAATGAATTTTTCAAAAATAAAATAAAATTAATTTTTAAAAATAAAAAAATATATTTATTTTTACGAAATAAAAAAGAAAGTTGGATAAATGGATATCCATCCATTAAAAATATATTAATAGATGAATTTTATTCTTAATGAATGAATTGTATTGGATAATTTTAAGAAAATTTTAGTGGATTTTTAATGGACTAATAAATTGTTTTAATTCATCAATTAACAATCCAATCCATATTCATCCAATCCATCATCCATTTTGCCACCCTTAGCACAAGTCCGTGTTTATCGCCTATTTGTTCAATAGTCTTAAGAAAAGATCAAGGAATATTAGTTAGCACTCACTGTGGTGTATTTGGTTTGCTTGCTGCTCTCACTAATTGCTGAAACATCTTCCTTTCATTTATTGGGTCCATCCCTGATGAAAATAGAGTAAACAAAGATCTTTTGAGTTCTGAGTGCAGTTAATCCAGAAAGAAGAATTTATTTCAAAGACTAAACCAACCTTGGTTGATCTCATCAACAACTCTAAATGGGCAGTTCGTAAGATCTTGAAGGGAAACAAGATAAACAATGGTTGAAACTGATCGTTCCTGGAAAACCAAATTAAAGGTTAATTTGTGTGCAAATGCGCTAATAAGAAAACAACCCTATGTAGTACCCCTCCAGATTGATGATGAGCACTGAGAACTTCCAGCTGTCCATTTTCCCTGAAAAAAATTATAAAAATAAAAACTCAGTAAGAAACAAATAAAAAGAGGAATTGGGGTGTAAGGTGTGGGAGTATATATAATAAAAAGAAATTCCTTTGGTATCCTATGTTTTTATTAGGATATTGGCACCCTTAAAAAAGTAGAAACACGAAAATTTAGTTCAAACATAAAATAAATACCACAAATTATGATCAGAATCAAGATAATGAAATTTTAGCATTATTTAAAAGTTCGGATTAGATTAACTGTAACAGTCTGACAGAAATCAACAACCGTGTAGTCGTTATAGGTTGGGTTTCCCTCTTAAAATTGAAGTTGACTGGTAACCAAACGTTACATCAACCATTAATAAAAATGAATAGTGATCCTGTGAAAGTACATTCTTATAAAAGGAATAAAAATAACTTGCTCAGAACAACCGTCACCTGAATTTGACTTTTATATGTATTCCAAATTGATCAAAGTCCATATCATGCTCGTCTGAGAAGTGGAGAAACGTGGGTGAGGATGGAAACATAAGAAGACCAAATAAAAATATTTCAGTTACTATTTCAGATACCTAGTGAAACCTCTCCGGCAACAGCCATCTGTTGAAAATTTCGACTAAAAGTTTCATTTATCTGAGCCACAAGGTTTCTGAGTGTTGGAAGCCATTTTCCCTGCAAAAACAGCTTAAAGATTTCAGCTTTTCTCAAGAACCAGAAACATAACAAAATAAGAGCATGCATACCTACAAATCACATTATGTTTTATGAACCCAAGAATTGAATTCCAAAGAAACTACAATTTTATTAAATATGATAAAATATCTCCTCAGGGTTTTCTCCTTTACAATAGAAAAAACTCTATTCATAATTACAATATTCAAAGATGCTCTCTATCCTTTGTGTTCGCCTATATTTATACAAATAGCCCTATAACAACCTCAACTAAGTAACTAACTACTCTGACAACTCTTAACTACTTTATGCATCGAAATGGAGACATGTCATATTTCAGGTGTAATCCCAAATTCATAAGGAATATGTGATCACATTCTTTAACCCTGACGTAAAAGAATAACTCTTCAAATCCTGTGGTTTTTGAAATAGCATTAATACTACTTTAGCTACATGCTAACAACTCAAGACTTCAATACTGACTCCTCCTGTCTTATCAGTTCTAAAGACTTTATCATGAAGAACTGGCAAGCTTATTTAATAGTATTGATCAAACTATTTCATAGTACTACAACTGCATAGTTCCACCAATCCATTTTGGACCTCTTCTTCTCCCTTTCTCTCTTTCTTACCTAGAGAAAAAATAGCTACAAACATTACAAATGTATATGCAATTATTCTCATGTTCTGCAAAACACCTAAAAATAAATTTGTGTTTGTTCTTTGCCTTTCTCTTTTTGCCATTCCACACACATTCAATTAAAAGTGATTACTAAACACTTTTATAATATATAATTTGCATTCAGATATAAATGCAAAAAAAAAAAAGCTTTGTTAAAGAGTTTGTTCCAATGAAATCTATACTAAAAAAAAATCATTCACACAAAAAGATGACAGGGTACTGCATGAGTTACTAAAAGTCATTCACCTAAAAAAATCATTCACCTAAAAGTCATTCACAAAAAAAAAAAATTGATAAAGCTTAGATATGAGGAAAATTTTCTAAAGTAATCCAAAATATTAGTGAGTGCATATGAAAAAAGATGACAGGGTACTGCATGAGTTACTAGAAGCATTCTCTACATCATAATATTCTAGTTATAAAGAAATACTTATCAGACCTTAATGTTTTCCAACTCAGCTAGACACTTTCTAGATTCCTTCTTGTCTGCATCAAGTTTTTTTGTAAGATCTTCTATCTGTAAAGTCACTGTGAATTTAGATACTCCTAATATGAAATAACCCATATTGTTCCAAAAATTACAACAATTAAGAGTACCTGTCTTTGACGATCCTCATATTGTTCCAATATGTTAGGATTGACAAATAGGATTGAATTAGCTTGAGAAATTGTAGCTTGGATAGCTGCTTCCAACTCCTCAATTGTAGTAGGCATCTACATGAACAAACGCAACTGCTTTTAGAGTTCTCATTGATTTAAGACAAGAAAAGGAATTTATACAACAATTGAATATTTTATACAAACCTCAAGAAATTCCTTCTCAAGGTTAGGTGTAAGTCGGGCAATTGATTTAGCATAGTTCAATAAATCTGTAAGCTTCTGTCTACATTCATCAGCCTCTTTCTTAGCTGCAAAAACAAAAGTTAGGAAAATACTTGCATCTTCCAACAACAAAAAATTAAAATCAAAATAGCATCTCACAGTTATTAAAGTGCAATGATGCCTGCAGAGCAAAATTTTCATGCTGCTTCAAATTGGCCTCCATTTCTCCAATCTAAAGAAAATTTAAAATGTATACATCAGAGAGAGAAAGAAAGGAAGAAGGAGAAAGAGAATAAACATATAAACGAAATACTCACAAGATTCTATGTAATATATATTGTTAAGAGTCCTATATTAGATGAGATGTGGCCTGATAATGTGTTTATTGTGTTTATATGTGGGAGTCTGGGAACCATCTCTCACCTTCCTATTCAGTAGCATATAAATTTAGCTGCTACTTGAACTCTTTATACCGTGTCAGGAAAAAAAAACAGGATCCCCTAACGGAAACTCACGTATTCTATTTTAGGAAATACGAAGATCGGGTGAAAAAAGATTGGGTTCAGCAACCGCCAAGGCTAACCCTAGTTTATTTTTCAATTATCTATTGGGCGTCCAACGCAAACTATAGTCTGGTCCTACATGTTAGATTAATTATTTAATTAATCAAAGATGGATTGACATAATCAATTATTAATTAATTATAGTATGGTCAATTGTTACTAACACTGATTATTGATGAAATATTTGATTGAATTTTGTGCCTGAATAGACTGTGATGGGTTAGACCATTCAATTAAATCTAATTAGAAGTCTCTGCCCTCAGCCGTTTAATTATTTAAGCATTGTCCCATTAGACAATTAACATACTCTAAGAACCCTAGATGACAATGAGGGCAGTAATCCTCTCATACTCACTCTTCGAATGTTCATCTCTCCAATCCTACAAGATACACCGTTCTTATTATTCTCGATTATCCTATAATATTATATAATTTGTATCTACCGGTAATCAATTTTATTTATTATTAATCCTTCACCAAAACCCTAGTTGTCGCACGAAGTTGTCTTGTTGATTGTCCAATGTACACGGCCCTACAACCCCACACGTATCACAACAGCCTCACCATTAGATTCGCCCAAGTTAGATCGATTATTACCAAAGCACCGCCATCAAACTTTGTCTCTCGTGCTCTCACGTGCTTCCAACAACCTTTATTTTCACCCACAAGCCACTATCAACAAGTGCACGTCCAAGTGTGTGCGGTGTCCAAACTTAACTCAAAAGCTTTCTCAAAGAAGAAAAGATTTCCTAAGCCTTTATAATAACAATGATGGTCATATCTCTAATCAATGTGGGATTCCAAAATACCACCTTAGACATAATAGTGAAAATCCAAACTATTGATAAGCTGGTCAAAAAATAACAAAGGTCCTAACAAATCCTGTCAGACTTAATTGCGGTTCCTCTACCAAAACTCCTATGGAAGTTTATCCTTGTTCTATCCTAATGTGTCCACCTCTAGTAACCTCGCTCCTAGAATATTTGGATGTACATTGTTCATCCATATTCATAGTGATGGTAGAAGGAAACTTGATCCTAGAGCCTTAAAGTGTGACTTCATAGGATATTCTTGCACACAAAAGGGTTACAAATGTTATCATCCACCATCTCAAAAATTTTGTCTCTAGAGATGTCACTTTCCTTGAACAAAAAAGTTATTTCGTTGAATCTCATCTTCAAGGGAAAAACTTAAATCAGGAAGATGAGCCTCTCCTACTTCCTGACCTTATTCTCGAACTAGAAGTTGAGATTGAGACTAGTCGTGACAATGTTCCTGACCTTTCTTGAATATACTAAATTTTTTTCATATCTTACATCAGTTTCAACATTCTCATCTTTTTCAGAATCAAATTCCAACATTCTCACAACTAGTTTCAACCTCGACTTCTAGTATATACTTAGAGTGGGCAATGCAGCTTGATTGTCACAAATAAGTATCAGTGGTTTTGCTTCTTCAATTTGAAGTTCCTTGAACAACTGTTTTAACCAAATAAGTTCACATGTTGCCATTGCCATGGCCCTATACTCTGCCTTGGCGCTTGATCTTGCAGCTACATTACTTTTCCAAGATATAAGGTTTCCTCCAACAAGTACACAATACCCAAAGGTGGATCGTCTATCAATGGGGGACCCTGCCCAATTAGCATCAGAGTATCCAATTATCGGGGTATGTCTTTTATCCTCATACACAAGACCTTTTCCTGTAGCACATTTGATGTATCTCAAAATCCAGATAACAGCATCCATGTGTTCCTGACAAGAGGATTTCAAGAACTGGCTTACCACACTGACTGCAAAAGAAATGTCCGGACGAGTGACTCTGAGATAATTCAACTTTCCAACCAATTTCTTATACCTTCCTGAGTCAGATAGAGGCTCCCCCTGATTGGGTAGTAGTTTAACACTTGGATCCATAGGAGTATCGGCTGGTTTAGCATTTAAAAAACTTGTTTCTTCCAAAATATCCATAGCATATTTCCGCTGAGAAATCACCAAACCATCTTTAGATTGGGCTACTTCAATACCCAAGAAATAACGGAGTTTACCAAGATCTTTTTGTCTGAAATTGTTTCGAGAGATGTTGTTTCAACTGGAGTATTCCCTGCTGATCACTACTAGTTATGACAATGTCATCTACATACACAATAAGATAAATACACCCTTGGGGTGAGTGACTGATAGGAATGGATCGGATCCCACAAATGATGATGGGAATGTGTTAGTTAATAGAGATATTATTGGACCTAAACAATGGAGGGTATATGTGAGAAAGAATAGAAAACTCCACAAATAAATAGGAGTTAGTTTAGGTATTATTCTCCATATAAATAGGAGTTAGTTTAGGGATTATTCTCCATATAAAAAGGAGTGTATGGGGCAGTAGGGAGGCATTAATTGATTTTCTGTTTTTGATATTAGGGTTTGGGCAGTGAGAGAATAGTTTCTCTGACTGAGGAGCAGTAGCTCTGGAATTTATTTTACTTTCACCTTCATTAATAAAATACTTTTCTTTATCATATTAAATCATACCTCTGTTCTATCAATTGGTCCGACCTACCATTGTTCATGCCCAAAGCTCCTAAAATGGCTGACTGTATTTCTGTAGTGGAAGAAAGGTTGGAAGGTGTCGAGGCTAGCATTGCTGCGTTACGAGAGTTCATTGGTGCTGAGATTCAACGTGCAATGGCTCATCGTGAAGTGCCGCAGCCAAGCAGTGCGACAGTTTCCTCACCGCTGGATGAGTTTCGTTTATCTGCGAAGAAGGTGGAGTTGCCGGCATTTACCGGTGACGATCCGGTTGCATGGATCACTCGGGCAGAGACATACTTTGAGGTACAACGAATTTCGCAGGATGTTCGTATTCAGTTGACCAAATTGAGTATGGAAGGCCCTACTATCCATTGGTTTAACCTATGGCATGATTCAACAGAGGAAGTGTCATGGGAGAACCTCCGTGAGGCGATGATGGTTCGATTTGGAGGTGGGCGTTTGGAGAATCCGTTTGAGGAATTAAAGGAACTAAAACAATCGGGATCCGTAGAGGAATATATTGCTGAATTCGAACTGTATTCTTCACAGTGTGGTCGTTTACCAGAACAACAGTTTCTAGGTTATTTCATTGGTGGTTTACGTCATGATATCCGTTCTCGTGTGCGTACCTTCAAGCCTCGCAACCGTTACCTAGCAATGCAATTGGCTCGTGATGTTGAAAGTGAATTTGCAGTCGCTTCTGGACAGGGTTCTGGAGCACGTTACAAACCGGGTCATGGTTCTTGGACAAAATCTCAAAAGCCTAATTGGGCTTTTCGCGAAGGGGAAGGGAACGGATCTGCAACTCAGACCCAGCCTAATAATTCTTTGGGCCAAACGCGGACTGGTTCGGATTCTGGATCTCAAACCGTCTCAACACGTCCTACCAATTCTACAGCATCTTCTCGCCCAAATTTAGGTGACAATTCATGCCGTCAATCTCGTGGTGTTCGCCATCTACCAAGTGCAGAGGTTAATGAGCGTCGTGCGAAAGGACTCTGTTTTCGTTGCAACGAACGATGGGATCCTCTCCATCAATGTGCAACAAGACAGTTACGAGTGATTATCTTGGGGGATGACGAAATTGTTAACGATGCAGGAGAGATTGTGGTGTTGGAGGCTGCGACGGAAGAAGAGCTCACACAAGAGGAATTAGAATGTAAAACCATGGGGCTGTTTGGTGTATCCACTAATCCAAATCAGGTCCGGAGGATGAAATTGGAGGGATGTTTACAGGGTGCATTAATTCTGGTACTTATTGACAGTGGAGCCACACATAATTTCATATCACCTAAGGTGGTTGAAGCCCTGGATTGTCTATGGTGCCTTCTAATCCTTTGGGTGTTAAGTTAGGAGATGGTCATCGTGTCCTAACTAGGGGTAGATGCAATGGAATTCAGATGAAAGTGGGATCAGTGCAGATTTGCTTTGATGCTTATGTGTTGGAGTTAGGAGGTGTGGATTTGATTTTAAGAGTTGTGTGGCTAGAAACTTTGGGGAAGGTGACCATGGATTGGAAAGAAATGTCTATGGAGTTCAACCATAAAGGCAGTATGGTGAAACTACTTGGTCAGGCTGTAGATGATAAGATGGCTACTTTCCAAAGCATTATCACTCCTTCTCGAATGATAGCAGGCTGTGAATGGCCTACCTTGATGGAGGTGTTAGGGTCACCGGTGTCGTGTGTCTCTGATCAACAGACTAAGGAGTTGGAAGGATTGCTGAAGAGTCAATTCCCTGATATGCGCCTTGAGGACAAGGCTAATGTTGTAGGTGGGGGTGATGATAGGAATGGATCGGATCCCACAAATGATGATGGGAATGTGTTAGTTAATAGAGATATTATTGGACCTAAACAATGGAGGGTATATGTGAGAAAGAATAGAAAACTCCACAAATAAATAGGAGTTAGTTTAGGTATTATTCTCCATATAAATAGGAGTTAGTTTAGGGATTATTCTCCATATAAAAAGGAGTGTATGGGGCAGTAGGGAGGCATTAATTGATTTTCTGTTTTTGATATTAGGGTTTGGGCAGTGAGAGAATAGTTTCTCTGACTGAGGAGCAGTAGCTCTGGAATTTATTTTACTTTCACCTTCATTAATAAAATACTTTTCTTTATCATATTAAATCATACCTCTGTTCTATCAGTGACGATAAAAAAGAGAATGGTCAGCTTCACTACGGATCATACCAAACTGTTATACTACAGTGCTGAATCTGCCAAACCAAGCTCTCGGAGATTGCTTAAGACCATAAAGTGACATGTGTAGCCTACAAACCATATTCGATGACTCTCCCTGAGCAACAAACCCAGGTGGTTGCTCCATATATACTTCCTCTTCAAGATCGCCATGTAAGAATGCATTTTTGATGTCAACTTGATGAAGAGACAAATGTCGAATGGCTGCAATGGCTAGAAGAAGTCTAACAGATGCCATCTTGGCTACAGGTGAAAAGGTATCACCATAATCCAACCCAAAAATTTGAGTGTATCCTTTGGCTACCAAGCGAGCTTTAAATCGATCAATCTTGCCATTTGGACCAACCTTCACTGTATAAAGCCAACGACAACCTACTAAAGATTTTTCATGGGGTAGAGGAACCAGTTCTCAAGTACCACTGCTTTGAAGAGCACAGATTTCATCAATCATTGTTTGCCTCCACTCAGGGTGAGATAATGTTTCACATGGAGTTTTAGGAATAGAAACAGAAGACAAACAAGTATACTGCAAAGGGAAAAGACAATGATAACATAAATCAATATAATATGGAGAAGGATTTCGCATTTGACGTATACTTTTTCGAAGGGCAATCGGAAGATCAGACTCAGGTTGCAGGATCGAATCCGGTGATGGCGAGAGCGTCGGAAGAGAGTCCGTAGTGACCTCAGGGACAGGTACGACTTCAGGGACAGGTACGACAGACTTTGGGTGACGACGCTGATATGTTTGAAGTGGGCGAGAAGTGGGGGGGTCAACCGTAGGGGTAACTAGCGGGTCAGGTTCCCTAGAATGATGGGGAATAATGACAGATGGGACTTCCTGAAGAGGTGTGGGAATACTTTCCAGTAGAGGTTCCATAGTTACTTGGCTGGATTCGAAATATGGAACAGATTCGAAGAAGGTAACATCAGCGGATACGAGGTATCGTTGTAGAGTATGTGAGTAGCAACGATAACCTTTTTGGGATCGATGATAGCCAAGAAAGACACACTTCAGTGATCGAGTTGATAGTTTATCAAGACCAGGGGAGAGATTGTGTACAAAACACGTTGACCCAAAGACTCGAGGAGGAATTGGGTGGAGTGGAGAGTTTGGAAACAGGATTGAATGGGAAATTTTATTATTAAGGACAGATGAGGGCATGCGATTTATGAGGTAACATGCCGTGAGCACCGCATCTCCCTAAAACCGGAGAGGAACATTACTATGGAGAAGTAGTGTTCGAGTGGTTTCTACGAGGTGCCGATTTTTGCGTTCGGCTACCCCGTTTTGTTGGGATGTATGAGGGCAAGATGTTTGGTGCAAAATATCATTGGATGTGGTTGGACCTAACTCAACCCTACAAAACCGGTTGGTAGAGTGAGGATTACCCCCACTTATAAACACATGTTCATGTCATATATTGTCCGATGTGGGACTCTTAACACACCCTCTCACGCTCAGGATTGGACAACTGAAGCGTGGAAATAAATGGTAGGTGGTCGATAGCGAAAACCATAGAAGGTGGCCCACCGGATCTTAAACGAGGCTCTGATACCATGTTGAAATACAAGAGATTAAGAGACATGAATAAACCGTGTGTTTTGAAAAGCACTACGGAGACATTATTATATATAAATAGATTACAACTAATTACATGATATAGTCGATGTGGGACTATTCTATATACAAATATTCTTAACACTATATATATATATATATATATATATATATATATATATATATATATATATATATATATATATACAAATATCAACAGAATGCATATATAACAAATATTCCTTTGAGCTTGATAATGTTGATGTTACATGGTTTGGTATAAATTTAATAACATATTGTTTATCTTTCAGGTCTCAATTAAGCTAGATGTAAAATTTACACATAAAGAAACCTACTACTACAAACAACTAAGTCTTATCCCACTAAATGGAGTCGGTTACATGGATCAACTTTCGCCATAATATTCTATTAAGAAACATGTTTCTATCAAAATCATTTATCTCGAGATCTTTCTTAATAATTTCTCTTATAGTCTTTCTAAGTCTTCCTCTTCCTCTAATTGTATGTCTTTTCTCCATTTGGTCTATCCTCCTTACTCCAAAATCTACATGTCTTCTCTCTACATGCACAAGTCATCTAAGTATATTTTTCACCCTCTTTTCCACTATAGGCGTTACTCAACACTCTCTAATATTTTTATTTCTAATTTTATCCTGTCAAGTCTTACCACACATCCACCGCAACATCCTCGTCTCTGATACACTTACTTTATTCACGTGTTGATTCTTAACCACCCAACATTTTGTCTCATACAAAATCACAGGTTTTCCCATAGTCGGATAAAACTTTCCCTTCAACTTGAACGGTACCTTTGCATCACATAAAACATCTGATGCTCTTCTCCATTTCAACCACACAGCTTAAATTTGATGATTTACATCTCCTGCACTTTCTCCTTTTTATATTATAGGCCAAAGATAAATAAACTGTGTGACTTGAGGGATAATATGACCTTCAACTTTCATCTCTAAGTTAGAAATGTTTCTTCTTTAGTTGAACTTACATTTCATATACTCTGTCTTACTTCTATTAAAGTGGAAATCATGTGCTTCCAAAGCTCGTCTCCAAGTTTTCAACCTCATTTAAATCTTCTTTCGACTTTTCAAACACTATATCATATGCAAAAAACATGCATCTCGATACTACCTCTTGGATGTGATCATAGAAGGCAGAAATAAGAGGACAAGGATGAGTCATTTGAGAACAAACTGTAAAGATATGACTTAATTTCATAAGCAATCTAGAATAGTAGATTTTCTACTTATCTATATAAAACCGGAAGATTGAAGCAGCTAGGGGCAACTACCATCTTGATATGTATTTTATTTGAAACCTGAACTAGTAATCTTCTACTTTTTCTTATTTCTATTGCACCCTAAGATAAAAGCACCTAGGGGAGATTACAATCTTATAATGTTATCATGCAAGTCTCCAACTCTGATCCTTGTTTGGAAGTTACAAGTGAAATATGGGATGCAAACAACAATTTTAATGCAGAAAATCAATAATTTGAATCTGAATCACAGCCAAAATTACATAGCTGGCCCTTTCAAAGAATGGAAAAGCCTAAAACTTAGTACATAGAAATTGAAAAATAGTTGATAACCTAGTTCCTATGTATGATAATAATAGTCAGTTAAATTTATTGTGTGCCAGCATGACAGCATAACTGTTATGTGATTACCTTTGCTTCGAATTCAATGAAAGCCATTCGCTGTTCAACTAAACTTCTTTTGCAATCCACAGCTTCAACAAGAAGTTCCTGTCAATTGGCCAAAAATCAACAGCAAAAATTACACTTGTCTCAACCTGGTGAAGCTCAAACCCACAACAAGCTAGATACAAGCTTTGTCATGCTCAACGAAGTCAACCCATTAGAGTTTCATTTAACATGATATTGAGCAGTAAAAAGAGCAGAGATAAATCACCTTTATTTTAATTGCATTATGGAATCGCTGAATGTTACATTTTGTTGCTTGATCAACAAGCTTCGCTAACTCGGTATCTAAATCATCCTGCTCCTCCATTGATTTCAGTATTCGTTTCTTTTGTTCTATAGGTCAAAATAAGGTATTTGCTTTATAGTATGAGAGCAAAATGTTGATCTGAATTTTACATATCTTTCAATATAATCGCTTATGCTTACCAATATGCCTAATTATTGCTTGTCGTTTCTTTTGCTCATTCTGTGCTGTATTACTAATGTCCTCCTAAAAGAAATCAAAAAGAATAACAAAATTATGAAATTTAGTACAAAAAAATACTTCAATCACAAATTACTTTAAAATTAAAACTTTCATAAAAAAATACATGTACCCTTCATTAGGAAAAAATCTCTATATAGGTTTATATCGGTATATTGAATTAATAAATAAAATATTATGTAGCTTACCCTCTGTTTACGAAGATTAGCAGCCTGATTCCTGAAGCTTTTTTCCTCATCTTGAAACTTTTTGATGCTTTCCTCCAAGGAAGCAATTTGTTCTTGAAACTCCCTTTCCTGAGAGTTCAGATTCTCAATGTCCCTCGCATTTGAATCTAAATAGTACAACAAAAGGTAAAAAAAGAGAGACAATAAGGAACCAGCATTTAAAACTAAATCATATGATCCAAATGTTGGTTCAACATGCTTTTAGAGTGACATACTATTTAGTAGAAGTTGTGGGCGTTGCACTTGTTCGACAACTGCTGAGACATGATTTCCATATCTAGAGTTAGTCCAATGATAGTGATTTTCGGGTGTCCATAAACTAGTAATTCCCAATTTTGGGACCTCATCAGCTTTCTGATCAGTTTCTTTCGATCCAATAAACTGAATTGTAAACATGTAGAAAAGAAATTAATAACACTGTATAACCAAATAACTGTAATCCCCATCCATAAATATTAGCTTGAATTACTTTTCAAAGAGCCCATAAACTTAAATAACGAATCTACAGACATAGCAGAAGAGGCATACTGAATGATCAAGTCTAAATTGGCTAATCAACACCTCCTTGACAGCAGCAGGAGCATCAAAAATTTGATCCAAACGGGAGTGGATACCAAGTGCGCGCATCTGGTAAGAATGGTACAACAATGATGAAATATTTAATACTTAAATGGAAATAAAACAAAATTGTTGAGCTGAACTTACATCAGCCGAAATTTCGGAAGGCTCTCTTTGTTGGCTATCACGACCAGTATAATTTATAACGGGTACATCAAAGAACCGTAGGTTGTTAACCAAAAAATCCCGATCACGAGGATCCTGTGTTATGAAAGACTGCGTTTGAATAAAATAAATAAATCAGTATGGAAGAGATGATACATATGCCTGTGCAGGAAATGGTGAAGCATGAGAAGTGACTCCTTTTCAATAAGAACTGTATAATTATTATATTTGACCCTTCCACCAAAAGAAAAAGGAATTAAAAATAAGAAATTATACAAACCAAAATTTGTCAACGTAACTGGAGATACAGATAGTTTGCATAGGAAAAAAGGATACAATCAAAGAGAAAAATAAATAAAACATTACCATAGTGATGCGTTGGGGAAAATTGATAGGGAGTGGAGGGATTATTTCAAATGTTGCTTATTGTGTTCAATTTCATCTTAACGGAGAGGATGAGAGTGAATTCCATCATTACATGACTCGATTCTGGCTACCCTCAATACTACTGGGGGGATTAAGACTAGGAGGGGAAAGATGGGTTTATATAAATTTAAACGCATTGACTAAAATTTCTTGCATAAATTGTAATATGAAAATAAGGACATAAACAGAACATTAGACCTTCCCCTCATATAAAATATCGTTTTTTCCACTCCTCACAATCACAACCAAGCAAAGTCTGATTAGATCTCTCACCTACCTTCCCCTCACATCCCCTGCCCGCCATTAAAATCTTCCTTTGTTTTAACCATAGACCCAACGATCTCCACAAACAATAACAGAAAAACAAGTTCAGGAATGAAGTATGGACTAAAAAACCAAAAACTCCAAAATATCTAAATCTAAAAAAATGTAGCCAGAATTTTCATGGTGTACTAGGGTTGAAAAAAGTTTAGCAGAAATTGCTTTTACAGCAACAAAATAGACCATAAGATATCTAGGACTACCTTCCAAGTGTAGTAAGCAACTTGACCCTCTAGATATGCAGCATGAGACTGATCTGAGACATTCACCTGTAAATCCACTCAACAATGTAACAACCCAGGTAAGAAGACCAAAAGGCTATAAAAATGTGAGTCTGACGTATATACCTCAACTAAAACTGGACCAAAAACCTCCTTGTTGAATTCATGGCGATGCTCTTGGACCCACTTATAAGCTTCAAATATTTTCTCAACCCCTGATCTTTGCAATGCATGCAAACACTTGGTGCTTTTATTATTCATTTCTTTCAACCTGCAAATTTTCCAATAGAGAATTAAACAATAGATTTGCAGAAGTAACCAATCTGAAGAAAACATTATTTTTTGCCAAACTTCTACCTCTCTTTACACTTCATCAAAGAGAGCTTTTTATTATGTATTTCTTTTTCTGCTTGTGACTTATTCTGTCTCACTTGATTAGCAGATTCATCCAACTCCAAAATTTCTTCTCTTAATCTATGCTGGTAAGAAAAAAAATCACTTTTATAGTTTTATTGGGGGTGTAAGTACCAAAAATATAAAAAAAATTCTGAGTATAATATTGGCTAGTAATAAACATTCATCACAGGTATTTGGAGTAAGAAAAATGGGAATCAAGATGATACTTGGGATTACCATAATTGAATCTAGTCTCTACTATACCTAAACAATTTTTCATAGTCAGTTAATGCACCTGTAACTTACTGAACAGTGATCAGTTGAAGGTATTTCAAGAGATCCAATGAAGACCAAATGAACGGAGGAGTTGCCAATTCCGATAGACATCAAGGGGCTAAGTGGGTTCTTGGAATTGACAGATTAGTACAACAGTTTGTCAAAGATTATTATTGCTAGGCATCTCACTCACTTGTTAAAGAATAATAGCTTTCATTGGGGAGAGGAAGCAATGAGAGTTTCAAACAATTAAAAAGGGCCTCCCCACCCAAAGCTCTATAGAGCATCCACGTGAGTGATGCTGTGCCAATGTTTTGCACAACAACAAAAGGGGCACAGAAAAATATGTGTGGAAAGACTAGTGGTAGGTGGTCCCACAGAGCTAACGGAGAAGGGTAGCATAGTGCGAACACCGTAATGAACTGCGGCAAACCCTCATCAGAAATTCTCCAAGTTGGCTGAGATGATGGAACCACCTATGTCGAGCATGCCCAATTTCCAAGTATCATTTGAGATAACTGACGCATCTGCAGTTGGCATTGGAGCTGTCCTCGTGACGCCGTCGACTTGTTGCTTCCACTGTGAAAAGTTAACATGCCAAGCGGAAATTTCCCTCAGAATTGAGAAATGGATTCAAAGTGGCCATTGAAACAGGAAGGCCCAGGATAAATATAGAAGCTCTAAGTTAGAAATTAAGAGTCCAAAAAAGTAAAAGAAACTGAGAAAATTGAATACTAAGAATTCATTACAATTGGTTGAAAGCTGTGAAGCACATGTGCACCATTTTAGGCGAAGTACCGGTACCGGGTATGTACCTGGTACTGGTACGCATACAGTACATGTATGGTACATACCGAGTACATACAGAGTTCGTTCCTTCTTTTTTTTCCTTTTTCTTTTCCTGTTTGGTACGTGCGTTGGTAGGAAAAAATACAAATTTTGTTTCTTTGGTCAGAATAATTTCAGACTTTTTAGTGGGTTAAGTTTTTTAATTTATTTATAAAAGAAGTAAAAAGTCAATTCTATATAGTCTTTAACTTTTGGTAGTCTGCGCCGCTCTGCAACTTTTAGGTTTCAGCTTTGACTCTGAATTATTAACATTTTTCAAGTGTGATTTTTTTATGTTAATGAGCCAATCTTGAGTCCTTTTGAGAAAATTCCTTTTTAATTTTTATGTTTTGTTATCATTTAAACAATATAATTCTTTCATGATATATGTTATTTTTATAATTATATTTTAAAAAATATATGCTGACTTACTTGTACATTAATTTTTCTAAAAATACTGTATTTCATACCTATACCTACCCGTGCATGTCCCGGGGACATACCCAAACCGGCGCAACACAGCCGCTAAGCTAACAGAGGCTCGGCTCAAAGCGCTGTATCTAAGACTAACAATAACAATTCAGAAATGGCAACAATAGTGGCTGTCAGGTTGTATAGGTGGGGGAGGTGGCAGGCAGTGAGGGCATTGACGGGAGGTGTATAGACGGGCAACAATGGTGGTTGGCTGAGTTGGATGATGAAAAGCAATAATAAAAATGAGAAAATAAAAACTATAAGTTGTTCTTGTTCTAAAAAATAGAAAATAAAAACAAATTTTTAGAAAAAAACAATTATAAAACAACTAATCAAACAAGTTTTTGTATTTATTATTAAAAAAACTCAAATCCAACATGCCCTTAATTGTATACATATATAAATAAAAATATAAATAATATAACCAATGACTACAAGTACACTTACAAGCTCATCTCTGGGAAGTGCATAAGGTTTTAGACTCTCAAGTTCAAGTTCAGCAGCAACAAGTTCCTCCTTAGCTTTTCTAAATTTCTGTTGCTGAGTTTCTTCCTGCCTCCTCAACTCGTCCATCTCTTTGTACTTCCCTTGTTGTTCCACTTCCTATAAATTGATAACAAGGAATTAAAATCACACCAGACTTTAACTTCATACCAATAGGTTGTAAGATGTACCCACATGTACGATAACATGAATAATTATTGATTTGATGTGATGGCATGATTGATAATAAAGACTCAGGTTTCAGATCTCACTCAAATAAAAATTATAAAAATAAAGTATGTCAAGTAAATGGATGAGAAAAATTACCAATTGGTTCTCTTTCTCCATAAGTTCCATTCTTTTCTTGGCATTCTCATTTATTCGGTTGCTAACCTTTTTCCACTTTGCATCTAATGCAGCTTTCTCATCTTTTTGTTTTCTGTTAAAGCATGACAAATTATAATTTCATCATACCATATCTGAACAAAAGGAACGTGTTTGCCACAGACATATTCGTGACATAGCAATAACAATACAGTTGACGACAAGAATTCCATTTCAATCTAGCATTGAAGTCAATATAGGAGATTCGTTGACAATGCATCTGAAGTATTATGGATTCAGTCTTTGTTACAAAACTACCAATTTGATTTCAAACTCTAGTACAATATTGTGATAATCTTAGCGCAGTTTCCCTCCCTCATAATCCGGATTCGCATGCTAAAACCAAGCACATGGAGTTTGAAATTTTCCTCTGAAAGAAAGTCATAACAAAAGTATAATTCTCCAGCATATTCCAGTCACCAATCAGACTGTTGATGTACTCACTGAGCCACTTTCTCCTCCCAGGTTTCTCACACACGCAGACAAACTCAAGGCAGTAATCAGGGGCTCACTAGATCAATCACCCTAAGTTTGAAGGGGAAATAATAATAGAATAATAGATATAGCAGTATTTTCTATTGAATAGAAAAAGATAGTAATAGAACTCAATATGTCATAACTGAGAACCAAGTCAGTTAGGATACATCTATAAATCCTTGATGTTTGTAATTAGAATACTGAATTTTTTTTATGGAATAGTCTTTATTTTCTTTTATTTCACTTAGTTTCTATCAAATAAAACATCGAAAAAAATAAGAGAAAAGAAATGAAAGAAGATATGAGAAACAAATAGTGAAAAAAGGAAAAGTGAGGTGTTGGATGAATGACCAATGAAGTATTAGGACATGCAGTTCATCTTTAACGTGAGGCGTATGTTCAAGCATAAACTGCTTATGAAATATATAGGTCAGTGCAACTCTAATATATTTAAGGCTGTTAATGAGAGTGCTGTTAAATGCATAAACTTTCCATAAAAGGTATGAACAATGTTGTTAAATGCCGGTATTGAAGATGGCAGTGGCAGAAATTTGACAAACTACCATACAATGGCACTGGCACTGCAGATTATGATTACGTTTTATTTAAATCCAGCAGCAGTGAGGCTTATATTAAGCCTCTCTCTGGATATGGAATAAGACATGTTTTCTTTCGTGGACTTTGCTTAAAACAGCTAAAATTTTAAAATTATTAATCGAACAACTAATAATGCATTTGACCAAAAGTCAAGACCCCTCCCCCAACTTCAGCCCCTGCTAAAATATAAGCAACTTTCTCGTCTAGCAATTCAAATTCTAAGAAGCTTAAACTTTAAACAATTACTAACATGTAACAAAGTAAGAAAAGACACATACTTAATAGGCTCTTTAACTTCATTTAATAATTTTGCAGCCTTTTCAAACTCTTTTGCAGCGGTCTTTTCTCGCTCCTTAGCTTCACGATACTCTGCCTGCTTCATATCATACTTCAGCCATGGCAATTTCTTTTTCATTGATTTGGCCTACAAAACAGATATGGGCATGTTTTTTTATCTTTTCCATTGAAAAAAATACATTAAGACAATGAATTCTCACTGCAGGAGGAACACAAAACCTCCTAAATGAGAAAAATAAAGGATGAACTAATCATATCAGAAAAAGAATAGACATTACCACAAAGGAGTCTACATTGCTTGGTGTATACAAACATTCAGACAAAGCTTAATAGCTAACCTTGGCAAGAAGTTCGTCTCTTTGACGAACACGTTCAACATCCTTCTCTAATTCAGCATTACGTTCCTTCAACTGATTTAAAGTTCCTTCGTTTTTCTCAAGAGACTGAAACAAAATTAGTAAACCAATCCTGAAGTTATCGAGCAGCTATGATTTAGGAGATTTCTATCATTTCTTAGTAAAGGGTGAACTTACCAGCTCGACATGCTTCAATGCACGACTTTTATCAATTAGTGCACGATGTTGCTCAGGAAGTTGTGGGTCACCAACAGCCTTTTCGGTCTCTTCCAGAAGTTGCACGGGAGTTAACTTTGCAAACTCACAGACCCTGTCTTGCGGTAAGAACTACCAAAAAGCCAAGTATTAGCCGATCATAGATTTGAGCATCACAATAAACATAACACCTATAGCAATATTCCTCAAAACTAATACATAAAATAACTAAATCACATGAAGCTATGCAATCCAATATAAATACGGTGCAGATATAAGGATGAGGAAATTCCTAAAAAATAAAAATACTATATTGCTTAGCTACGCTTACACGAAACTATAAAAATATACACATTTATAAATGCAAAACATTTGTATAGGGACAATGATATTTTACATTTGATGAGTATCTAAGGTCTTGAAATGAAGTTTATACGAGGAGACCAAAAGGAAGTGGAGACAACATGGGAAGGGGGGAACCTCATGGTCTCCTGAGTATCTTTACCCCAAATCAAAAGGGAGAGGGGAATATCCTAACAAAATGACACGCTGGCAGTAGACAGGGAAGAGAAGTGTGGGCTTGGAGAGTGTGAATTGGAAGAGAATATATGGAAAGGAGAACAGTGGAGAAAACAGGCTGGATATTGGTTGGACTCTTAAGGGAGCTAGACACTCCGAACTTGCACAAGACCCTACTAACATCTTTGAATATCAAAGAAATGTTAACTTCTAACCAATCCTTCAAACTCAAAACTTGGGGGCTAATTGGCAAAAGGACAACATATGCATTATAATAGAATGCGGGAAACTATAAGTACCATTTACAAGATGCCGATGCAGGAGGTGAAATTAAAAGTGAAACTGAATGTTAGAATTTGACCCAACTCTAGACACCGTGTTAGAATTTTGACAGAAGAGAAACTGAATAAAATTGCACTGATGAAAATGAATGTTCAACCACGTATAACTGAACCAACCTAGAGCATTTATAGAGTACTATTGATCTGCAAATTAGTGTAACTAAAAAACTGTAACCAACTGAAGTGAGTTCAGTGAGCGACAGAAGTAGAAAGTTCTAGAATACAACACAATAAATAAGTACAAGAATAGTCTAGAGTTAAACTAAGCAAACTAAAAGTCTAAATCTGAAAACACTCTAGTCTAATACCATGAAGTATAATGACTGCAGGTCATAAACTTACTTGAGTCAAATTATTTACTTGGATGTTAAACCTCTGAATGGTTTCGGCCACGTCCTTTTTGGGCACAACATTTCCTGAAATAAACACATTGACAGATAACATAACTGATCATGCTGTTTGAAATTTATCGGTTATAATATTCTACTTTATCTGCAGTTTGCACATGCAACTTTTTTCTCATGTGCATATACATAACTGATCATACTGTTTGAAATTTATCGGTAATAATATTCTACTTTATCTGCTGTTTGCACATGCAACTTTTTTCTCTTGTGCATATACATATGTACATAGAAATATTTGGCATATAAAATTGACAGATAAGAGGAAGATCCAAAATTTAAGGCTGAAAGGAAGTTATTTGTAGAATACATATTACGTTTAAGGGAAAGAGAAAACACCTAAAGATGTCATGATCCACTTAACAATAGTTATATTCACCAATTGATAGAAAAATGCTAACTGTTCAATAAATTTGATATCCTTGTTTTTTTTACCAAAACCTTAATAAATCATAAATTACAGGCAAGAACTCCTTCATTGTAGATAGACACGCCCAATGTTCATGATAACAAGCCAAAGAGATTGTTCCAAAGAAAGATGCCTGTCTATATTGCAATGCAGACAGATATACCGTCCCAATTTAGAATTATAATACTTACACCAAAATAAGTGAAACCAACCTAGTAAAATGCAATATGAATCCCATAAGACATCTCATGTTCACAACATTTAATAAGAAAATTTGGTTATACCAACTCAGAATGTTTTTTAAAGTGGAGCAATATGCCAGGTAACCAACATAGTTTTGAATAACAAAAGCAGAAACCACATTTTGTATTTCGATACCATAATCAGCCAATTTTATGTTCAAAACGTGTCTACTACAGTACATCAATAAAAGACTTCACAATTGCTATTAAAATAATAGTAGCATTCAATAAAATTATGTAACCGGAGTCTTAAAAAACCCACCATTGAAAAGCCATTCAGACTTGTTGCTAGTATTTATTTTACGCATAACAGTAATGTGCTCCTCTTTATTGTCCCCTCTCAAAGTAATCTTAATGTGACCAGACTCTTCTCCCCGCTTTACATATGCCCCAATACTCGTGGCTCGCCCAAGCAACTGCAGAAAATGAAGTTGTCATATGAAATGGTTCAAAGATAAACTCTAGAGAGGCCTCGTCAAAAATTAAAATTAAAATTAAAATTAAAAAAGCAAAGCCAGATAAAGTGTATGAAAACACAATCCAACCTGGGGCTCTCCACAGAGGCCAAGAGCAATAGCACATACAAGAGAACTCTTTCCAGAACCATTGGGCCCAATTACAAGATTCAATCGAGGCCCGGGTTTACATTTTAAGTAATCAAATGTCATGAAATTATAAAGCTCAATCTCCAAAATGTTTCCAGGCATATAATCATCATCCCCCCTGAAATAAAGTTTAAAACATCAACTTCATAATCACAACCCTATTGTAATTTGAAAAATATATATAGGGGGTTAGAGAGTACTACAGGGTAGAGCATGACAGAACACTAGAGATGGAAATAAAAACTATAACTTCTAAATTAAGAAAAATATAAACCATTTATAAAAATAAATGAAGTATTATTTTAAGGATATCCAACAAAACATATCATAAGGCTTTGTATGGGAGGAGAAAGGGGGTGAGTTTTTCACATTGTTTGAGAGAGAAAATTTAAAGGAGGGGAGGGAATTCTTATTAGAGCATCTCTCTCATGACATGACCCAATCAAAAATATAAAATATAAAGGAGGGGAGGGAATTCTTATAAAAGGATCATTTGTCTATCACAAAAATATAAATGCATTGGAAGTATTATAAAAAGAGAAAAATGATTTGAAAAATTTGTTACATCCCTCCAATGCATTTATATTTTTGAGATAGGCAAATGATTCGGGTTATTAATTTGTTGGGGGGATTGTTAGTAGCAAAGATCCCTAGACCTCCTCCTTCAAAAGACTCCTCAAATACATTTAGAGTTTGTACTCCTCCTTTATAATACTCCTTGAATACATTTATCAAGTTCGCCCACATAGGAGGGTTTAAGTATTGTGGGTAAAAATAAACTCAAGATGCAATGTGGAAGCTATTTCCTTTTTTTTCACCCAAGTCATCCCCTCCCTTGGGTGTGTTAATTCCCAAACAAAACCTAAGTTTAATAATTCAGTTCCAATAGAGCTTCATTCTTTTTCCACAATTCAAACAACTAAATATCAATAACCAAATTCGTGTTTCCAACTTTAATAATTCCACTACCATGAAAAGAACGAGTTAAGAACAAAAGTTACAACAAACAAAGGCAAAACAAAGAAATTGCAAGGAACGGAAGTAAAAGTTATGAGCAACAGAAGAAGTTGAGGAACCTGCTGACTTTGGGGCGCTTCGGTGGGCGAGGTTCCGCCATTGCAAGTAACGGAGATCGATGGTGACGGAGCTATTTGAAGTTTCAGAAGTGATTGATGAAATTGCTGTCTCTGAATAACTGAGAATGATTATCATGAACAAATTCACATAGGAAACGAAGAAATTCATACAAAATTCATATTGAATGAGAAAAGATGACTTACGAGTAATGAAATGTTGTTAGAAAACCCTTCGAGGTTTAAGCGATTAGGGTTTGAGATTGTTTAGGACGCAGATGACATTAGTGAGTTTGAGTTTAACGATGACATTGCTGAGTTTAATTGATGTTTCTAGGTTTCTATTGTTTCAGTGGGGGTTTGCGGTTGTGTAGAGTATCGTTTTAGGTTTAGAGATTTTGGAAAAGAAATTGTGGGAAACAAAATATTTTTTGGTGGGAAATAAAAATAATTTTTTGGTTAAAAGTATAAATAGGAAATCTTAATCAATTTTAATTTTATTTTAATATTTTTTAGTGTGTGATTTTTTCTGGTACTATGAAAGAAAGTGAAAAAATTAAAGCATAAAATCATCTAAAAAATAAAATCTAGTATTGAGTGATGATAAAGTGAAAAAATTAAAGCATAAAATCATCTAAAAAAATAAAATCTAGTATTGAGTGATGATTTTAACACGAAGTTTCATAAAGATCACTATGTTGTATTTTTTTAAGAATTCTATTTTTGTTAGGTAGTTAACGTAAGTGTTATTCACTCTAATGTAGTATAGTAATGTCAAATATTAACATATTTTAAAATAAATTTGATAGTAGAGTTAGAGTTACAATACATATTAAGTCTTTGATGTCGAATTCCCAAACTATAATATGACATCAACATTTCAGCATAAAAGATGTTGGAATAATTAATATTTTTTTAGTGTATGTTTAATTTGATTTTACAAAATTTATGAATAGACTAATGTCTAAACCTACACTTTTGTGCTTGTTTTTCCACTTCTCTTAAAATGTACATGTGCGTGAAATGTAAAAATAATGTTTTTGTTTAATTTATTTAACATATCATGTATCTGTTATTTTTTTTTATATGTAATGTTATAAATAGAAAACATTTGTGGATTTTAAAATAAAAATGGGACGAAGAGTTTATTATAGACAGAAAATATTTACAAAAGTAAAATAAACATGAGAGAAAGTTATATTTTAAAAAAAAAGTTAGACAAAATACTTTTTTTTTATTTTATCTCGAGATACATTTTTGTTTCTCAATTTTAAAAAATGTTAAGTTAATTTTATAATTATTCAAATACCGTCACTTTAATCCTTTTTGTTTATCCCGTTAATCAAAGTCAGTTTTAATGTACATATGGCACATATGTGCAGTGGCTGATCTAGGAATTTTGATAGATGGGGGCAAAAGAAAATTGTGTAAATATTTTGATTGAAACAATATTAAAAAATTTACATAATACATAGTTATAATGACAAATAAATTTAAATTACATAGTTTTCTTTATAAAAATTATATTTATTTCTTATTAATTTTCATATTTTAAAAAATATTTAATTATATTTTTACTATTAATACTATCAAATATATTTTTAAATTTTGAAGTCCACCATAACTTTAATGAATTCTAAAAGTTCAATTCAACTCAAATTTTAACAATTAAAAAATGACATTTATTGTACATAAAATTAAATATTTGTTCACTCATTCGTCATTGTATGAATACTCTACTTTCTTTAAAATTAGGTTAAAAAAATTTATATTTTACTAACAAGATCAACTATATAACTAATACTTTTTTAAAAAAGAATAAGATATTCAATTAAAAAAAATATTTTACAAATTTATAAATTTATAATTTTAAATAAAGAGGAAAAGTATTTATAATAAACTCTATAAGAAAAATTGAATTAACTTAAAATTAACATAAAAAATATAAAGATATGGTAAATAATAAAGTAAATTAATGAGACTAATTAAATTTAATGGAGACTATAAAAATGATATGTTAATAACATTAAAGAAATTAAAATATATATATTTCATGTGGGGGCTTGAGCCTCCAATAGCATTGCTCTAGATCTGCCCCTGCATATACGTCGTTGAGGTGAATCATAGGCTATCTTAAAAAAGAAACTTAAGGGTTTAGTTCATAAAACATGTGTAGAGCAATTGAACTTGAAATCCTAACAGAGCAATTGACGAAGAAATTAGTTGCGATTTGCAAAAAGAGGAGAGTAGGCGAAGACGAAACCTTATTAGAAGGTGAAATCGAAGACACTGTTGTTGATTACAGGTTTATTTTACGAAATGGTCAAGCTTATGTGTGGGATGTTGCATGTGAGAGGAGTTTTGTATAACTCGATAAGAAGTTGATGACTGCTCCAGTGTTGATCTTGCCAGATCTGAGTGAGTCTTTTATAGTGTATTGTGATGCATCGAATATGAGTATTGGTGGCGTACTGATGTAGAATGGTCAGGTTGTTGCTTATGCTTCCAGAAAACTGAAAGTTCATGAAAGGAATTATCCTACGCATGACTTAGAGTTGGTCGCGGGTGGTGTTTGTGTTGAAAGTTTAGAGACATTATCTTTTTGGGTTCAGGTTCGAAGTGTTCAGTGATCACAAGAGGCTGAAGTATTTGTTTGATCAGAAAGAGTTGAATACGAGGCAGAGGAAATGGCTTGAACTTCTGAAGGATTATAATTTTGAACTGAGTTATCATCCTGGTAAGGCTAATGTTGTAGATGATGCATTAAGTAGGAAGTCATTGCACATGTTGATGTTAATGGTTCGAGAGTTAGGACTGATTGAATAATTCAGAGATATGAGTATAGTGTGTGAAGAGACTCCTAACAGTGTGAAGTTGGGTATGCTAAAGTTGACTAGTGGTATTCTCCAAGAAATCAGAAAAGGTCTAAAATCTGATATGAGTTTAGTGGATCATCTCACGTTAATCAACAAAGGTAACATGGGTGATTTTCAGGTCGATGAGAATGGTGTGTTGAGGTTCAGAGATAGAGTGTGTGTTCCAAATGTGCCAGAAATTAAGAAGAGTATTCTTGAGGAAGGTCACATAAGTGGGTTACGTATTCATTCGAGTGCCACAAAGATGTACCAAGACTTGAAGAAATTGTTTTGGTGGCCAGGGGTGAAGAAGGAAGTTGCAGAGTTTATGTATGCTTGTTTGACTTGTCAGAAGTTGAAGATTGAACATCAAAGACGTTGGGTCTGATGCAACCATTGAATATTCCAGAGTGGAAACACGATAGCATTTTTATGGATTTTGTGACAAGTCTACCAAAGACTTTGAAGGGATATGATTCAATTTGGGTGATTGTCGATGAACTTACCAAATCGGCTCATTTTATACCGATGAGGATCAATTATTCGTTGCAAAAGCTGGCCGAATTGTATATTGATGAGATTGTGAAACTGCATGGTATTCCTTCAAGTATTGTGTCTAATATAGATCTGAGATTTACATTGAGGTTCTAGGAGAGCTTGCAGATAATGTTGGATACTAAGTTGAGGTTGAGTTCTGCTTATCATTCGCAGACGGATGGACAGACAGAGAGAATTATCCAGTCTTTAGAGGATTTACTGAGAACTTAAGTGTTGGATCAAGGTGAATCATAGGATAGTCATTTGTCGTTGATTGAGTTTACCTACAACAACAGTTACCATTCTAGTATCGGAATGACACCGTATGAGACATTGTATGGTATGAAATGTGGACTCCTTTGTGTTGGCATGAATCAGGCGAGAGTGTTGTACTCGGACCTGAGATTGTGCAAGAGACGACTGAAAAGATCAAGATGATCCAAGAAAAGACGAAAACGTCGCAAAGTTGTCAAAAGAGTCACCATGATAAGAGAAGGAAAGCACTTGAGTTCCATGAAGGAGTTCACGTGTTTTTGAGAGTTACGTCGGTAACTGGTGTTGGTCGGGCTTTAAAGTCCAGAAAGCTCACACCACGTTTTGTTAGTCTGTATCATATTTCGCAGAGGGTGGGATAAGTAACACATCGGATTGATTTACCGCCGTCGTTTGTGAAATTGCATGATGAGTTTCATGTGTCTCAGTTGAGGAAGTATATTTCAGATCCGTCACATGTGATTCAGATGGATAATGTACAAGTGAGAGATAATTTGACTGTTGAGGCATTTCCAGTTCGAGTTGAGGAATGAGAAGTGAAGCAACTGCGAGGTAAATAGATTTTTTTGGTAAAGATAGTTTGGGGAGGACTAGCTGAAAGGAGTATGACTTTGGAGCGTGAGGGTCAAACGAGGGAGTCGTATCGGACTCTGTTTCCTTGAGGTAATTTTCGAGAGCGGAAATTCTTTTAAGTGGGGGAGAGTTGTAACACCCCAAAATTCTTGGAATATTTATTTAATTTATTTAAATATGAATATTCACATTTTTGTGATTTTCGGTGTTGGTGTGAATATTGGAAATTATGGATTTTGAGTATTTATTTAAATAATAGTATATAATATGAATATAATGGTATTATTAATTTAAATAAATATAAGTGAATTAAGGGGAAATGGACATTTGAGGAAGAGTTAGTGATGGTGGAGTTGGAAAGCTCAATTTTAAGGCCCAAGGTTAGGTTTAACAAAAAAGAATTTTAAGCTCAATTAGGATTCATTCTTGTTATACCGTAAAAAGGGAAGAAATAGAGGTCAGAGCTCTGAGGTAGAAGATTGAGGCAAAAGCTTCGCAAGGTTTCCGAGAATCAAGGAGAAAGACTTAGAGTCAACAATTAAGGTACGGGGAGTATTGCCTTCAATGTTTTCAATATATGATTCAATGTGTTTAAAACTGATTTAAGGGTTTAGGGATTTTTGATTATATTGTTGTTGCCTTTCTGATGGTGAGTTCAATAAGTTTGAGAGATTTGAACTGATGGTCTGATAGGTTTGAGGCTAATTTGAGATAAGGGAAATTAGGCCTTCATGGCCAAAATTTGTTGTTGGGGTTTTAGCCGTATAGGATAATTGGGATAATTGGATTGTGAGGACTCTAATAAT